ACACTTTTTTTTTTCTTTCCTTTCTCCCCATCACCAAAATGTGGACACACTCTGGCATCCCACTTGCACCCCTCCTTCTGTGGCCACTTGGAACACAGTTCCTATTTTAGGATGCATTTTCATTTTCCTCTCATTAGTGTGAACTCATTCCTTCCAGTACTCTCTACCTTTCCATTCTTCAATGAGGTATATCAGCAGCATCTTCAGTTTTAAAGTGTCCCTGGCAAGGTGCCCCTCACTTGAAATCAGAAACAGTACAGTGTGGGGAGCCGGAGAATCAGCAACCTCAGGCACAAATGGTCTCCACCAGGTCCTATTTACAATTCTAGGGCTTAACTAACCCAGGTAACTATTGGCCCTACTGTGTGGCTTTGTCACATTTTCAACTACAGAAGGTAACTGTTACAGTTAAGTAACTTATTGCAGACTATAAAGCCTAACACTAGGCTCAGCACAGTATGAAATATATTTTGATTCTTCTCTTGCCTCACAATGTAGGTTATATTAGGGGTTGATACCTCATTGTTAGTTTGGCAAAGGAAGCAGATGTAATAGAGAGCCTTAGCTTGATGTAATCAAATGCACAGGTGAGCAGGCACTACTATGTAACGTGTACTTCATAACTCATTTTCAGAAAACATCTGAATTGTAGTCTGTAAGAACCCATGGGATATACAGGTAAGATTTTGTAAAAGCTTGTAAGTGTAAACAATGGTCTTCCATACTGGTGACTGTTTTCCAGAAACTGGGATTTCAGGACAGTGCAAGAATGCTCTCTTCCTCTTCTTTGGCAGTAAACTGTGAAGATCTGGATGGAGAGTAAAGTGGTCACTTCAGAAGGGCCAGATACAGAGTTCGAGAATACTTCATCTCTCTTTCCTGTTCCATACAGAATATCAAGTCCCTGAGGCAGATTCTCGTGATTCTTGGAGGGAGCAATGGTTTGGTGACTGTTAGGCTGGAGGTCCCAGATGCAGCAGTGCTATCTTTTAAGCCCTAAACAGGAAAAAAAAAAAAAAAAAAAAAAAAAGAGAAGCATTTTAAAATAAGGACTTTGTCATAAAGGGATAACCAGTCACTTACACATAGGAGCCAGCTCTCCAGCAGGCACTGGGAAGGTTCTATGGAAGGCTCCAAACCCTATGTCCCAGCCTTAGAAGGCCATCCATCCCATCTCTCTCCTGACCTTGGCAGTGTCCTCTGAGATGCATTCTCTACTTCCAGCTGATCCTTTGTTTTGCTTTTCTGCCTGTTCCCGGCCAGACTTTCCACTTTAAAGATTTGACATAAAACCTTACAGTGATGGGTGCACACACTTACTGTGTGAGTACAGGCAGGAACATGCCTCAGGATTTGTGTGGAGGTCAGAGGACAACTTTCAGGAAAAGGTTCCACCACAGGCTCTGCAGGTTGAACTCAGGTCACCAGGCTTACACAAAAACTACTTTTACCCACTGAGCTGACTTGCTTACCCCAAACATAACTTCTTGGAGGATAATTTTATAAATATGAAACACTTTTTTTTTAAGATGTTGTGAAAAACATCTTAAGAGCTGATAAGATAGTTCAGTATGTAAAGGTGCTTACCATGCAAGTCTAGAGACCTGAATTCAATCCCTGGAACCAATGTAAGGTGAGGAAGAGAGAAATGACTTCCGAAAGTTGTCCTTTTACCCCCACATGTGCCCCATGGCATACGCTCCCAACATACACACACAATAATAAACTAAACTTTTAAAATCTTAAAAAACAGAGAAAACCATCTTGACAGCGTCAGAAGACAGCTATCACCAAGGCTTGATCTCAATCTGGAAGCAGGCCACACCTCCCTGCAGCTCTCTCTGAAGCTGTGTTGTGAAATGAAACCCCAGTTTATGGTACCTGGCTCCTCCATGCTCCTTGTCATGTAAGTTATAGAGATTTCCATGAGATGTCAAACTTCCCACTTCGTCTGAGACTCCTCAGGGAGACTGCTCCATGGTTTGGTCTGGAGATCAAGGCTGCTCTCCCACCCTAACATCCCTCTCATGATGGTCTCCAATCTCTCTTGCTCTTTGTCTCTCTTACTGAAGCTCCTTTCTGGGCTTTAAAGGGAAGCCTAAGGCCTCATCATGTTTAGATCATACTATTTATTGCATTGTTTCTTGTGCTCTCCCTCCCATCTGGAGGCCTGATCATGGCCCTGAGGCCTTCATTGAAGGGAATTAGCGTCAGCTTCCTCCACGGACCACAGCTGTGGCTTGTTTTATCATGTTTTTAAAAGATAGGACTGGCAACTCTCATTTACCCACTCAAGAAACTTATACAAGAAAAGCTACTTACCTAACATGGGAAATGAATCTTTTATTTCTATTATTATCAACCATCATATTTTAATTGCTTCCTTCACAGTTTTGGTTGCTTTGTTTTGATGACTAGGAGGGAAAATCTTTTTTTTGTTCTTTTTATTTTAATTTTATTATTTTTCTTGAGACAGGGTCTCCCTGTAGCCCCAGCTGGCCTGGAACTCACTATGTACATTAGGCTGGCCTAGATCTCAGAGATCTGCCTGCCTCTTCCCAAGTGCTGGGATTAAAAGTATGCTCCCCCATGCCTGGTGGGAAATTTTCCAAGGTCTACAAAACAGTAGGGTCAAAACTAGTCAACCTATTCTTATGCATATTCATAGCATGACTTCAGGGAAACTATCTAGTCAAACAAAAATTTCTTAAAAGACATCCAGTTTTTGAGGGATACATGCTATCAAAAATCGTACCTTGTCCATTCACTGTGGTAAACTTGTTCATAGGACAGAAATGTTGGGCAGTCTACAAAGAAAAGAGGTTGCTCTGCATGTACAGGTGCTCGGCCATCTTTCCCAGAGCCCGTCCACAGTTCAGAGCTCCTACAGGTGAAATGCAAGCTGTAGATGTACAACTGTGAAATTCTGTGACTAGCTGAGCATGGAGTTGAGGCTGAAACACTGTTCTTCTCTTCAGGTCTCGCTACTAAAGTATACAACTTAGATGGTGCCTACCTACTATTATGGAATTATTGACAAAGTATTTTCACAAGATTTCTGAAAGATGAGCTCAATAACTCAGCTTTGGAAAACAATTTTTAAAAACATTAGGAAGGCAATAGAACATCATTAGCAGTGAGAGGCAATTATTTATAGGAGTTATCTATTTTAAAAGAAATGCTTTTTATTTTGAGAAAGGGTCTTATATAACCCAGGCGTGCCTCCAACTCACTTTGTAACCAAGGATGACCTTGAACTTTTGGTCTTCCTGTCTCTCTCTCCCAAGTGATAGGACTACAAGTTTGTTGCGCCATGCTGAGAATCTAACCCAGAACTTGCATGCTAGGCAAGGACTTCACTGACTGAATTGCATTTCTAGCCCCAAAAGGGCTTTCTTTAGCCATGATTTAGATATATTATGCTAATACTGCATTTATTTACATGAAAGTGTTCATATCAAACATCTGCCTAAAATCAATAGCTTACCATCTTACATGGATTTTAAAATTGAATGTCTAAATGGACTCTGTCTTTATGAAAATCCCTAGAAACATTATTTTTCACCAGAAGTCGTCTATAGAATGTTTAGCACTACCATTTACAGCTCTGGAAGCAATCAGTGACTACTATGAGTGGAGTGGTGGTTGTGAGTGTTCCCACTGCAGAATACTCATGTGAGTGATACAGTTGAGTGTCGCCAGATGTCCAATGGAAGGAACAGGACACAAAGGAATAGACACTGACTGTGTCAAAGCTATACAGGTCAGGACAGTGAATGGGGGTGGGAAGGCAGGGGAGGGCTAAGGAGTGGCTAAGAGACGCTTCCTTCTTACTCTGACACAGCTATGTACCCTCAGTAGAAAAAAAAAAAATCACTGAGCTTATGATTTGATTTGTGCTTTTCCTGCACTAATTTGCATTTTGATAAAAATTAAACTGCTATCAACAAACTCATCTCAGTAGGAAATTTAAAAGAAAGTAAAAAGGGGAGAAAGAAGGCAAAATTGTTAAATGTAAAGAAAAATAAGAGACCAAGTCACCTGGGTTAAGGAACAAAGGGGTCACAGTTCATATCTGTCATGTGACAAGCCTGCGGGATCCAGGAGAAAGAACCACACTACAGCTGCCAGCCCAGGGTTGAAAAAGAGGTCATTCCAACAGGATGCAGCAGGAGGCCCAAGGCAATGTTATAAATGAAACAAATCCTCAGAGACACTCCACAACCCACCAAAATATCTTCCATAATTCATGAAGGTGATAGCACTCTCTTCCCCCAAATAGTGACTGATTTAGAAAGTCAATCTCTCTTGACCCTGAATATGAAATATATGCCTACCACTTTTATTTCCCTGCTTTTAATTTGGGAAAGTTATTAATTCTGACTTGTTTCACAATGACTAGGCTACAATAACCAGTGCCTCTTGGATAGCTGACAACTTGCAGCCATCAACACCAAACCCACCTTCTTATCACTACTTTTCATTTCTCTCCACTCCACCAGGTCCCTTCACCACGGCAAACACCACTAATGTAATTCAGAGTGAGTCTGGAAAAAGGAAAAACAGGCTCCAGTAGAAGACCCCATCTCAAGGGTGTAAGATGAAGAGTGACAGAACAGTCACCACACACAGGCACAGGTAAACACAACCCTACATACGTATATACCACACAACAGCACAGAGAATCTATTTTTTAAAAGACTAAGCTTTCAGCTGGGGATGTATTGGTACACTGCTTGCATGCAGAAAGCCCTGGGTTTGATCCTCAGTGCCTGTATGTGTGGTGGCAAATACCTGTAAATTCAAGATTTATGTGGTAGAGGCAAGAGAATCAGAAGTTCAAGGTCAAACTCAGCCACTTACTAATGGGTTTGGAGGCCAGCCTGGGCTACATGAGACCTCGTCTCAAAGTAAAAACAGGCTAAACTTTCAAGCCTTGAGAGGAACACAGCAGAAAGTACTTTGAGATTGACTGCCCTCTGCTGATCAACAGGCAGAACTTGTGAAGCAACAGGCTTCTTACATTCATCACCTTCAGTTTATCTCAAAGAATTCTATTATAGTGTTTGCCTCTGCCCAACCGTTTTAAAGAAGTAAAAAGACTTGGGACACCGACAAACAGGCTTTGAGGTCTAATTCTAGTACTGTAATTATGACAGCTACTAAGAAAATAGACCAATTGCCACATGCTAATAATCAACCCTTGTCCCGTTTAATTTTCTAGCAAAGCCTCCAATAGCTATCGCAAATTCAACATGTTTTGAATTGTCATTCCCTCCCTTCCTCCTCTTCACTTTATTTCACGGAATGTGAATGCATTTACACATAATGTCCAAGCCAGTACACTAGGCGAGAGTCTCAGCCTCTCCTTCCACTGTGGTCCATCTACCACACTTCAATCCCACCTCCTTAACACTCCTACAGATCACTTCTGTCAGCATTTTCACTTTTATTATCTTCTACCTACTACCTGAATAATCTTTTTTAAAAAATCTATTTCTTCTGTTCCTATTGCTTATGATACAGTGTGACTGTTCTAAAATAATAATCTGACACTATTCCTTCTTTAAAATGCTCCAATGGCTAAAAACCTATAGAAGCAAGTCCGAACACCCAAATGCATGGCATCAACAGACTTCTAGAACCACAATAAAGCCAGTCTCATCTTCGCTCCTTTATTCCCATTATAAACTACTGACCGTGGAAGTACTTCCTCTCCAATGTAGCCAGTTAACTGCCGACAGCACACTCTTTCAGGAGTGGCATTCTCCAGTTCATCTGTCCTGTTCTCCAATCCCATCACCGGAATGCCAAGGACAAAAAGTTATACTTCCCCAATGTCACAGGCACCAGCTTGCGTCAGGTCTGGACTAGGCACAAGCCCTTTGCACTTTCCTAGTGTTCTCTTACTACCATGGCATGTCTGCAGTGCAATGTAATCATCTAACCTGTCACTCACTACAGAGGAAGATTTTGTGCCTGTGAATATTTTGCAG